CCAAGACGCCTGGGCTACTCAAACCACTCTGGGGGAGATCAGTTTGCCACCTGGAGGGAAGGGGAAAATGTCTGCAATGCACGTGTTGTGGCAATGTGGATGTTACAGCCACTCATGCTTGGAAGGCATGTCTGCACCGGGCCCTGGCCCTCACGGGCAAGGAAGGACTGGAGCAAGCCCTGCCCACCAGCCCCTTTTCACACACTCCACATTCAATAATAGTGAGGAAGGCCCATGATGACGGTGAAAACAGTAACAGCTCGGCCAAGCCTACACATAAAATCTTCATGACCCATGCATCTTGCACAAAAATGCAAGGTGGAAGCTGGGACCATACAAAATCGAGCAACCCCAGCTGGCTTTATTCTCTGTGCTAGATTATGTTCAATTAAGAAAATTGTTAACAGAGACTTGGCACATTCAACGCATGCATATATCTAAGAAAGCCAAAGAAAAGGCTGAGCCAGGGAAGGCAAGGAAACTACATATGCATTTCAACTGAACTAGCAACTAAAGAAGACAAAAGACTACATATGCATCTCAAGAGAAACCTGTCAAAGGTACCGGAAAGACGTCTTGTGTGTGACTTGCTTACATTTCTCAAAACAGGCATTCAATGTCTAAGGTGTTACAAATGTCTCAACCATTCAGAGTATGTCTGGAGCTTTGTAAAGAGAGCATCACTGGTACAAGCTATTGCACATTTTCCCCATTGATAAACCAACACCCAAACAGGTCCGGTAACCAATGCCTCTAGGTACCCTGTTTGACCACTCAAAGCCCATCACAGTTAATTGCTAAGTTAATCAGTAGCTATGAAAAACACAATTCTTCATACCTGGACAAATCCAAAAACAGGAGCCAGGCCATTTAACGATTATAATATGATGGTCACCTTTTTCCTCCCTGTTTTGTTTGGCCTCTAATCGGCCAGCTATCAAGGAAAATGCTTTGAAGCTATACAATTAAACAGTATAAGAACTAAGCAAATTTGCCAGCAAGGTGTGCACTCCAGGAGAAATAGAGATCACCGAGACCACAGAGAGAGGGGGGAGACAGGGGACTTTAATCCCCCTCCCTGCCCCTCCTTCGCCTCAGGCACTGCCCGGGCCAGCTCTGGCCACACTCCCCGCCACGCGAGCAGCAAGGGGGTGGAAAGCAGGGCAGACGCAGGCTGGGGTCCCATGTGGATGGGAGAGGGGAGGCACGGGGGTTTCACCCCCTCCCTCCTCCTGAGCCTGCTGGCCCACACCCCCGCCCCCTCCACTCCAGCGTGGAAAAGTCTGGCAGGGGCTGCTCGGCCCCACTAGGCAGACCGGGCTGTGCCAGCCAGGTTTCTCACCCCCACCCCCTTGTCAACCAAGCTCGCTGCTCTGGCTAGAAAGCAGAGACGTGGGGCCAGCCCTGCTCTGCTGGAGCAGACAGCACAGCACAGCCCAGGGCTGCAGAGCATGCTGGGATGCTGGGGGACTATGATTTAACTTGAACCAAGAAGGGGTCTGGGACAGAAGTTTCAGAAACCGGTTTGACCCCAATCAGTTGAGTCTGATACCATATTCAACCAGGTTTATCTTAAACTAGTTTCAGCCCAGCCACATCTCATGCTCCTCAATTTGCTCTTCCCCCTACACCCTTTTCTACTGTACCCCTCCCATCAATGCCCCCTCTCCCTGCCCATGTCACCCCATTCAGCCTGTCCCCTCTTAACCAAATCCCACCAAGAAAGACACTGAACTAAGGCAGCAGCACGTCATGCACTGAGGATCACAGCTCCTTTTGCTATCTTGGACATACCTTTCCCTTGCTCTTTGTCTGCCCCCTCCATTTACAGCCTAAATCCCTTGGGGCACAGACTGTTCACGCTCTGTTCATACAGCCCCTAATAAAATAGAGTGCAGATCTCAGTTTCTGGGCTCTCACATAATAAAAGCAAGAATAAAATGCCAGCAGCCTCCATCTACATGGCTCTGCCACTTGAGCTGTCCCCTGAGGAGTTGCGCAGGGGTGACTAAAGAAGGGGATGTGAAGGTAGATGCTAAGGCTACTTCCCAGTTGTTTGCTTTTGTTTGCATGTGACATGGAACAAGTTCCACCTTGTGGTAAAGCTGGGAATGGGCACAGACTCCTTGCAAAAGGCAGGGCAGAGTGCACCTTACAGACAAGCTCCTCCAGAGAGCTCTGAGCTTTCAAGTATGCCATTAGCCTATTTCATCAGATGCTACGAATTTCCCATTGCAGGTTTGTTTAGAACAGGGGTGTCAAACCACCCTGAATGAGTGGCATGGTACTGGTCCACAAGCCCGATCAGGCCCACACACTGACCCTCCCACCTCTCCCTGCCATATGTTAGATCCGGTGCCTGCTCAGGACCCCTTCCAGCCAATCCTGGACACATGCTGCATGCAGTGCCTGCCCCAGCTGGCTCAGGACATGCACTACATGTGGCACCCACCAAGGTGCTGCATTCATCACGGGCCCCAGAGCAAGAACCGCATGTGGTGCAGTCCTGCCCCAGCAAGGACAAGCTCCATGTGTAGCTCAGATCCTGGGCCAGCCAAACTGGGTTCTGCGTGCAATGTGGTCCTAGACTGGCCAGAATGGGCACCGCATGGTGTGCACTGCAGCCCAGGCCCTGTGCATCAGGCCATACACCACATGGATCAACTGAGTCCCAGGAGCAGCACCAGGGAGTGGATAAGGGGGCTCCATGGGCCACATCCAGCCCACTGGCCACACCTGTGATGCCCCTGGCTTACACCAGTGGTTCTCCAACTTCTTGGGTCTCCTACCCAATTTTTAATGTGTTGCAAATTTGGGGTACCCCCATGATTCCAGATTTGGATAACAAAAAGTAAGACTTTTTGTCACTATGACTACAGTGTAACTCCCCAACAACATGACACACAATAGAGTGATTCTTTGTTTTCCTTTTTCTTCCTTGACCTCCATTTATCTTATAGTTTAATAGTTTCATAGATGTCAGGGTCAGAAAGGACCTCAGTAGATCATCGAGCCCAACCCCCTGCCCTGGACAGGAAAGAGCACCGGGGTCAGATGACTCCAGCCAGCTGCTTGTCCAGTTTCCTCTTGTCCCTTTCCCCCTTTCCCATCTGCTTTCCCATTCCTTTTTCTTGCATACCCTCTAAAAGTTCATTGCATAACCCCACTGTTTTACATAACCCAGTATGAGAAACACTGTAGGTTAGATAGATTTTTCTTGCCTATTCAGCTCATCCTGTTAGCAGCTAGTACTGGGTTGGCCAATTATTTCAGGTGGAGGACCACTTAATGAGTGGGGGGTCTCCACTGCAGCTGGGTGGGAGCAAGCAGGAGTCCAGGGAAGCGGAGTAGGTCCTGGGAGCTGCAGCAGCAGCTAAGCACAGAAATTGCATATTGGCCGGCCAAGCCCTTCCACCCACGAGGGCGGGAGCCAGGCAACAGGGTACGTTTTTGCAGCTGCATGTACATGTGGGTGCCTCACTCTCACCCTTGTGGGCAGAAGGGCTGGGTGGGACATAGGGTTGCCAACCCCCCAGGACTGCCCTGGAGTCTCCAGGAATTTAATATACATCTCCAGGAGACTGCTGAGAGTCACCTGGGAGAGAAATGGTAAGGCATTCATTAAAATAAATATTAAATGTTGAATCTGATTTATGCAGTAATCCAGTGGGTTTTTAAAATGTAATTGTAATATGCATTTGCCTTCCTGACGTAAAGTCAACACACTGTAATCCATAACTGATATCCACAAGCACGCAGGCATGTTTGTATTGTATGTCGTGGGCACGCTGGCATTCTGGACACGTCCTGGAATAGATTCAAACAGAGTTGGTAGCACTAGAGGGGCATAATTTGCTGGGGGGCCCCACGGGCCGGATGAAAGTGCTTGGCAGGTAAAATCGGACCTGCAGGCTGTATTTTTCCCACCCCCAAGCTAACATGTGGCTTAGGGGTGTTAGCACTGATAGATGTGTCCTATGATGGAGGCCTGCCCAAATATTCTTCATACACCTCTGCAAAATCATTCCTTTGTTTTCATTCAGCTCCATCTCAGACACTCTCCTTTGCTGGGATGCAGGCAAACAACTTGACAGCAGCTAGTTTTTGAAACCACCCTTCAGCATCCTGCTAAAGCTGTCTCCTCATACTGCACCACCGAGTTTCTGTGTCCATTGGCTGGCTCTTGTCTTATATTTCTCTTTGGGGAAGGCACCATCTTTTTGTCCTGTGTTCATACAGCCCCTAACATAAAGGTGCTCCCAGAGCTCCTGGACACTACTGCCATACCAATACATGAGGATGAGGATGTTTTCCTCCAGATCAGATTAGAGCAGGGCTGCAGTTCAAAACTTCAGGGTAAAGCTGGAAAATGTTTGCCTGCCTTTGGATTTTAACACCAACTTGAAACATAGCCTTTGTTCACAGAAGGATTCAGAAATCTTTCGGTGGATTTGGGACAAGGGTTTCCATGTATGCCTGGGATCTGTGTGTGGCTTTGGCTGGGAATTATGTGAAACTGCAGTTTTGACTGAAGTTCAGCTGAATCTGGAAATGAAAACCAGACCTCGAATACCGACTCCCCCATCATTGTACGCAGTCAAGTTCAGCTACAAAGCCGAATGCACACACATAAACCTACCCATGAAATACATTACTTGCTGGTGCAGTACCTGGGGTGAGAAGGGAAGGAGGGATATCACATCAGGACAACAGGATGCCACTCTAGTAAAAGTGACAAGGTGTCAACAATCACCAATGCACAGTGACAACGTTGCATTCAACCCACTCGCTGGGAAAATATTGTTGACACATTTCTAGACATATTACACTGATAATCTATTTATAGTGACAGCAATAGTCAAAGGCAAGTTACATAGTCTCTTTCTAAAACTGCTCGTAACCTTTCCCTTTGGCACTGAGATGTTATCTGCAATCCAAAAATAAATTCTCGTTGCCGTTAAGTATTAAATTAAAACTGTTCAGATATATTTTAACTCTAAGAAAGCATGACAAGACCTCTATTTTCTCCTTGTGCTCTAGGAATGTCAAGCATGACTTGGTTTTTGTTGATCTCACTGAGTCTCAAAAAGCACTGAAACGGGAAGAAAAGTTTTGAAGCTGGTGATCTGGTAAGGAAACATTAGCATTTCTCCATTCTTCTTTGGTGTGTGTTTTTAAAAACAGGTCAGTTAACTTGTAGAATTGCTAAAAGGTGGGAAAGCAGGCTGGCCTAGCAAACAAGGGAATGTATTTTGGCAAATCTCTTTTTCTGACTAAGCCAGAGAGAAGAAGAAGAAGAAAAGAAAATGAATCCTCCCAATTAACTATAGATGTTACTAGAGGCAGGCAAAGAGTATAATGTGCCCATGCCAAGCACCTTTACATGCAGCAGCCTCCCAGTCTACCAGGTATCCTCCTTCCCCTGCTTTGGGTTCCTCATTCAAACCCATTTTGCCCAAGCATCCATCCTGCTGCTCCCTCCACACCCTGTCCTGCCTGAATTGTTTTCCCATTTATTTTTGTCCAGTTGCAGCCCTGATCCGTCGCTGCTGATACTACTGCTCAGAGCCCCTCTGGAAGGTAGTGATGTATGGGTTTCTATTCTAATGCTCTTCATTGTCACAGTGAGTCTCAAAGGAGTCCTGATGCTACCTTTTCACCTCAAGGAAACAGTAGCTTGAGTAGCATGGGTGCTAAGGAGGTGCCTTGTCGACAGCCCAGAAATCACAAGTTCAAGGCTATAGCAGAAGTACTCACAGTGCAGTCCTGCCAGGTTTCACTGAGTCTGCAAATTCTGCTAAATAATACCTTGTCACAAGGACATGAAAAAGGAAAGGAGCACATGGAGTTGAAAGAGCTCCTGGGACTGACCCCCTAAACCTTTGGGGAGATATGGGAAGGGGGCAGATGACCCCTCTTACCCAGTGATGCTCAACTCTAAAAGGAGTCTGTCCCATGCCACAAAATCAATTTGAACATCACTTAAGGATTGATGGGGGGGGCTTCCAGGTTGAGAGTTTAAACCGGCACGGATAAAATGCTCAGAGCCCTGCTAAGGATGTGCAAAGCAAGAAACTGGACCGTTCAGTCAGGATTTCAGAAATATTTTAACCCTTCGACAGCTGTGTCTCAGCCCAGCTGCTTTGCTTCGGCAGAACACCATGGCATTCCTTTACCATGACTGTGGGTTTTCAGAGATGACGCATTTCATGTCTGAGCCAATGAACTTGGGAATGATAATTGTCCAGTACATAATAAAGGGGGGCACAGGCTGAATGATATGCCAAATATGAGGAAGCATAAGAGAAGCAGTTCATTGGTTGCAGATTTATGCACAATACATTAAGAAAAATGAAGGGCAATTTGCAAAACAAGCAAAAAAAGATCTCATTCTGGCTGAACCAAACAAATTCAAAGCATGAGATAGACAGGTTAAAGGAGTGAGACTGCCCTATTACTACTGACAGCAAACTTGACCAGCTGCATTCAGCTGTCACCCCAAGACTCAGACCTGTCTCTAACAAAGCAGCCTGTATTCATTCACTAAGCGCATGCACTGGCTTGTCATACGTTTTTACTACAGTCTGCCTGTTCTTTCAGTTTGGAAGATCACTTGGCTGTTGTAAGTAGGTAGCAGTGGATTCCTTGCCAAGCCCAGGCCATTCTGCTGACCCTCTCTTTGTGTGATTTTGCCAGATTACTTTAACATCATGATATACCAGATACATTATCATCATCACCCCCATCATCATCCTCATCACTGAACGCAGCTTTAGAAACATTATTTTACAACGCACCTATAACCACAGTGCCCAAAGGACTGACACTTCTACATACACAAAGGTTAAATCTTTTTCAGCAGTTAAGTATCAAGAGCGTGATCCTACAAAGATAGAAGCACGTGGGTAACTTTACTCATCGGGCTAATTTGGTATGCTTGTTTCCGTGCATGAAAGGGCCTTTTCTCATAGAAGCAGAGAATGCCAAAGAGCCACTGGAAACTTTTCTAACAACCAGCTGCCAATTCCTGACGCCCGAAGATGAAATAGTATCCACTTAAACCATGACCTACAAGTCAGAATGGGAATAATTCTAATAGTTCCAGATGAATTTCTCAGCTTTCTTTTCCCTAATGAGCTGCATAATGAATAATGATGAACATTAACCTCCATTTTACCTTGCTGATGAACTGCTAACATCTGGGAAAGTCCCAGGACAGGTTTCTTGAGCCTGGGAGATTTCCTCAGATTTCTGTCTCTCATGATGACTGATCCTATTGCATGCCATAGATATGCAAGGCAGCTCAATATCTTTGTTTATACTCATTTCAGTTTATAGTAAATCATAATAAGAGAGCATCCACCCATTAAGAAAAAAAAAGGCAGTTAAGTTCTTTCAATTATTGCTGCAGCACAGTCTCTCATTACAGTGCATTATCCGTAGATCTGCATGGTGTTTAGCTGTTTCTGTTCACTATGGAGAACAAAATAAGGAGAAGGGGTAACAGAATGACACATTAAACGTAAGGGAGGGAACCAGAGTATCCTGTTTATCAGGCAAGCATCCCAGATATACCAACCGAGACAAGTGCACTCACTGGAAGGCAGGAAGAGTCTTTTATTTTTAGATATGTTTTTAAAATGTGTTTACGGTACCTGGGAGGCAGATCGTCAGCTGGCATAAGCTGTCATAGCTCCTCTGCTGGCAGCGGGGCTATGGAAGTTTGCACCAGCTAAGGATTTGACGGATAGTTTCTCCTTCTCACAAGGAAGAACGATGAGTGTGCCCCGAGGGAAGATCGGAATCATACATTTTTTAGATGTTTACCTTTATGTTAGCACATGAAACGCCCTCCAACATACAAAAATAGCCCCAGTAAAACTGAAAGAACACTTATTTCCCTGGTGTGACATATGAGCAAGCGTATGTCATTGTAATATTAGTTTCATGTTTCATTGGTTCCATATAAAGTTTTTTTTTACATACACAGTGTCATACATGCACATGCGTGCACACACACACACATTCACACGCAGGAATCTCGTCCTGGATGAGTCAGAAGGAGCACTGAAAATGCTGTATAGTCCCACTACTGACTTACTGTTGCAAGAAGAGAAACAGCCATTAAATTCCATCGTGGTAAATGCAGGCAGGAAGCAGCAGCAAGGAGCTCCAGACCCAGATGTGCCCAGATGTTCAGAGGTGGCTGGGCGGGGGAGCCTGACTTGTCAAGTTTACTCCGCTCACTGGTCCAGGAAGTCGAAACACCTAGTTTCTGCAGCTCATCCTCGTCCCTGCTCCTTGCGTGGGTGTTCTACTCTGCAAAGACACCTCATCTATTCCCCTCCTGCGGCAGAGAGCTGCTGTGTGCAGCAGAGACGGAGCCCGGCAGTCCAGTGCCTGCTCCGCACACAGCCCAGGCCCCTCCCAGCTCTCATGTCCCTGCCTGCAGTCGAAAGCACCAGCCTTCTCCACCCACCGGCCCATCCCAGCTGTGTGCCTGTGGCTGTTGCCTCCTTTCTCAGATTGATACAAACACCCATTCATTTGCTGTCGGCCCCTCTCATTTAAGGCTCAAGGAAGAAAGTGCAAGCCAAAAAACTGTCCCAAAGGCCTCCATAGTAAGGGCAGGAACTTACAGAAACCAGGACTCAGAGACAAAGACTTGAAGGGCTTGTCAGGAGAGATTACTGTCACGCAGAAGAAGCGAGTGTGCATGTAACAAATTAACCGTGGCAGAAATAGGCTGTGACCACAAAGGCTCTCCACACAGAGCCAAAAACGTAGGGTTGGGAAGAAGCGGTCTAGACAGAGAGCTGCAAAGTAAAAGAAACTTGTGCAGTCCCAAGGCTTTACTCTGTAATGTTTTATTCAAGGGCGTAAAGCTATTTATGTACACTTCTTAAGAGTTACTGGGCAAGTCCATCAGCGGGTATATATCTGGGCAGCTCCTGAGCTGTGAGTCAAGCTTTGAAAGCTTGCAGCAGAAGGGACACAGATGAGAAAAACAGTTGTATTTAGTCTTCTCGTCCCTTCCCCTCCAGTAACCAAACTGTTCTTTCTCTTTCAGGAATCAAACGTTCCCTTCGAGTGTACTGTCAATAATACAGTCTTTGTCTAGTTTTTTAGCTCACAATCAGGCTGCCAACATTATCCTTGGCAGTCTGTTGTTACACACTTCTCAAGCCATTTTGTCTGACGTTTAGTCTACATTCTTGTTTTTTTATTCACCCCCCACTTACTGCTATTGTAGTGCTACTACCTTGAAGCATACTAAGGGCTGGGCTAGTGTAGATTGCAGATATAGCTATACCAGGATGCTGAAAAACTGCATCTAATATGGGCAGAGCTAATGCCAGCGAAGAGAAATAAGCCATTCTAACAAAAACAGATTTGTTCGTATAACTGTCCCTATGTAAGGGGCTTTTGCTGGCCTGCTGGTGCCAGCCAGGTATCATGCCTCATCCTGTCCCTGACCAGCATGGCTACGCAGGCACTTGTTTGTAGTGTGGAACTAGCCTAACTCATTTCCTTTTACTCTTGGCCTAAGTACAGACAGTCAAAAAGCCCAAGGCTGAATCTGTTTAATAGATTCATAGACTCATAGATTCTAGAGGCGGAAGGGACCACAATGGATCATCGTGTCCGACCCCCTGCCCCTGGCAGGAAAGAGGACCGAGGTCAGATGACCCCAGCCAGGTGACTATCTAGCCTCCTCTTGAAGACCTCCAAGTTACGTGATAGCACCACCTCTCTTGGAAGCCCATTCCAGATCCTGGCCACCCTTACTGTGAAACATTTCTTCCTAATATCTAACCTAAATCCAGTCTCAACTAGTTTACACCCGTTATTCCTAGTCACTCCCTGGGGCGCCTTAGTAAACAGCACTTCCCCTATTCCCCGTTGACCTCCCCTAATAAATTTATAGGCGGCCACAAGATCTCTCCTCAGCTGTCTCTTGTGAAGGCTGAAGAGATTCAGCTCTCTCAACCTCCCACCGCAGGGTCTATCACGAAGGCCACTAATCATGCGAGTGGCCCTCCTCTGGACCCTCTCGAGATTCCCCGCATCCCTTTTGAAGTGCGGCGCCCAAAACTGGACACAGTATTCCAACTGCGGCCTGACCAGTGCCGCACAGAGGGGGAGCATCACCACCTTTGTTCTGTTAGTCATGCACCTGCTAATGCACGACAAGGTGCGATTGGCCTTGTTGATGGCCTCGTTACACTGCTGGCTCACGTTCATCTTGGAGTCGATTATGACTCCAAGATCCCTCTCTGCCTCTGAGCTGCTGAGAAGGACACTCCCCAACCTATAGGTGTGCTGGGGGTTCCTCCTTCCCAGGTGAAGTACCTTATATTTATCTTTATTAAATTGCATCCTATTTCTCTCTGCCCATTGATCCAACCTGTCCAGGTCGGCCTGAATCTGCTCCCTGCCCTCCGGTGTACTAACTTTGCCCCATAACTTGGTATCATCAGCGAACTTGGAGAGGGTGCTCTCCACGCCCTCGTCCAAATCGCTGATGAAAATATTGAATAATATTGGTCCAAGGACCGAACCCTGCGGGACCCCACTGCCCACCTCCCTCCAGGCCGAGAAGGAACTATCCACCACCACTCTCTGGGTGCGGTCCCTAAGCCAGTTCAATCTTTGTAAGTTAGTTTAAGCTGCATAGATTGAACTGATAAGCAAGTGAACAGACACTCACTTTTGATTTCAGAAATGCAGCAGTGGGCCAGGCCAGAAGCTGGGGGATGTTAAAGCATGTCTCCTTGCTCTGCTGGATCAAGCAGCTTGGGCCTGTGGGGGAGGGGGGTTGTGGGGGAGCTGCTAACTTAAGTCAGTTAAGTCTGATACTACATCCATCCAAGTTTATCTTAAACTGGTTTTGTCCATTTTGAAAGCAGTTTATGTGCACTCCACTTCTGTTGTATTACAGATCTGAACCAGTTTCCAATCACTCATACTGGTGAGTATGTGTAATCTCTGTCTCTAGCCCTTGGTGTTTTTTACCTTGCTAAAGTTTATCATCCTTTTATCAGGTCCTTCCCAACAGAGAGCAATTACTATTTTAGGGATGGTTAAAACAAAAAGGAGAGAAAAGTAAAATAAAGTTACAGATCCTCCCTTCAAAAAATTAGAAAAGGAAGTTGTTCAAAAGGAAAAAAAAACTAATTTCACTGTTTGCAAAAAAATAAAATAAAAACTATAACCAAGATAAAATGTTCATTTAGGCCTAATATTATTTTTAATAATTTTTTTCAGGTGAAAATGATGTTACTAGCTTAGTCACAGCAGTAGTGTTTATTGCTTGTATTCGAGTGGTTGCCAGGAGTCAGGGGTTAGGGCCTCACTTCAGGAAGTGTTGCACCAAAAACAGAAACCAAAGACAATCCCAGCCCCAAAAAGGTTATGCTCTATTCCTGTAGCAGCCATTATTTGCTAGACACTTTGTATTTTATTTATTTGTATGGCATACAGCAACCAAATGACAGGACATGTTATAAACAACCTATGCACAGCTACACTGAGGGATAAGGCTGGAATGGCAGTTTTAGATTTGATATCCATTGCAAGCATCATCAGTAGCCTGGTGCAGGTCTTCAATGCAAACATTAAAATGATACATAGGACACTCCTCTGCAATGCATGCTATAATTTGGATTTTGCCACACTCACACTTGGGGTCTTTAATAACATCTAATTTAAGGAGTAAGTACCAGTCTACCATGTACCTTGTCCAGTACAAACCCTGCTCAACATTGTCGAGCTCTGCCTTCATAAAGCAAAGCCAGGAGGTTTAGATGCAGGGACTGTGATAAGAAACTTGTTAATGATGTCAACTGTGTTCTATTGCTGGACCCATTTTTTCCTTGATGTCAAAGATTTTGTCGTTCAGCTTTGTAAAACACTGGAGAAATTCATGCTCTGAGGATAGAAAGGGTGCTCAATCTAGACAGCAAACTTCCTATACCTGGTTGTGTTCCCTCAGGAACATCTGGCTGCTCTGTACCCAGTCTTTCCTCCTCAGTTGGAAACAGAGTAGCTATCTCAGTGTGGTGTCAAGGGGAACCTCATCAGTGGTGCTGAGTGACAGTAGATGCGTCTACATGGGACGCTAAAAGCGCAGTAGACTAAATCTACTGTGCATTAGCGTATCACAGCAAAAGAAATGCTAATGTGCTAGTGGACAGTAGAATTAGTCTACTGCGCATTAGCATCATGTAAAGACGTGCACCAGTGCTACTCTATAGTGGCACCAATTATGGCACATTGAGTTAGTACCTGTTATTACAGGTACTAAACTTAATGCGCCGTATATGGCACATTAATACATGTGTAGATGTGCCCGGTGACAGTTACCCATCTCCTAGAGCTGTGTGGGTGCAGCTGTTCTGCTTCTGGCTGAAGGTATCACATATGGAACAGCATGAGCATTTGAGGGCGTCACTGTCGGGCATGGTAAGACAAACAGGTTGATGCAGGAGAGAGAACAAGAGGGAATTTATGCATAAATCATCTAGATTCATCACAAGCAACATAGCAGTTGTAGATCTTGGAGAGAGGTGTAAAAGTGGGCAAATAGGGGAGCTGCAGATGAGGTCATGGACCTTGCATGGGGCCACATGGAAGATAGTACAGCAGAGGTGAGCAATTATTTTGGGCGGAGGGCCGCTTACTGAGTTTTGGCAAGCCATCGAGGGCCGCATGATAGGCAGCCAGGGGCAGATAAATATTAATGTTCTACATTTTTTAGGGGCCCCACAGGCTGGATAGAATGGCCTGGCGGGCCACATCCGGCCCCCGGGCCACATTTTGCCCACCCCTGTAGCACAGAGACACCTGCACAAGAAGCTGACAAAGGAGTGAACAAGGTTGAGAACACAACAGAGCAAAGGTGACAGGGGCAATACAGTCTTGACAAGAGAGGACGAGTACAGAGGAGCAAAGTTATTTGAAACCAGTGGTAAATAACTCAAATATTGATTTGCTTATTTTAACTTTTCTGCTCTTCTATGATTGTCTCCAGGTAACCTGATCTCTTTGGTAATGCAGTGTCCAGAACTGAAGACAGTACATTAGAGGCAGTCACATCACAGCTGTGCAGAGAACTACTCCATTTGAGATGGCTGTAACTTGACCAAATCTACTGAACATGTCACAGTGGTGGCACACCGTCCCCCCAGAATTAACAAAATACACCCAGCTGGATTAAATGACTTTTTCTGCTCTCATCCCTTGAGATTAATGGATGATACGTTGTACTGATCCAGTGCTTCTTGTGGGACACTTGCCTCTGGCTGTGTTAACTTCCCTTTGACAAGAACCAGTACAACCAGAGATAGAAACAAGAAGATTCAAGTATGCATGTGCATCAACCAATTCACTGGCTTCAGCCTGACAGCAATTTTTTTGTCCCTTGATGAACGCAGACATAAAAAGGAAGTACATGTGCAAGTGGAGGGCAAAAGAGCCTGGTGGCAACATAGCTCCCATAGGACCCAAGTCCTGAAATAAGGGAAAGTAGTGGGAGTTGTAGCTGTATATCTGACGTTAGGTCTGTGGAGTCCAAAGTGTTGTGGCAAGATGTTTACAAAGTTCATCTTACATTTGCTTCTAAGTATGTGGGATGCTGTACAGCTCTCAACTGACCCTTATTTCAGAAGACAATACTCCTCTCAGCCCCACCAATATCTATATTCCACACAAATAGAGTGTCCCTCCCTTGTGCTGTTGAAAACAATTTATCTCAGAAATAAAGAATCAAGAGTTTTGAGGTGATAGGAATGATCTGGGCCAGGCATGTGCTTCTAGGCACTATGGAAATAACAGCAGCAGCAGAACGCTGAACATATGAAATCCAATTTATGACTGTCTAATTAGGTATACTTATTTCATACGGAATAAAAAAAAAGGTAAAAATGAAATAGAAGAGGTATCAAGGATGGTTAAGATGACTACAAAATCCAAGAAAATAAACCGTAGGCTAATATTTGTAGGTCAGAAAAGGTGTTGGATTCAGTTCCACAATTACGGATATGGAAAATACCTAGAATGTGCAGCACTGCAACTAAATCATGAATTTACAGATTCAACAACGCTGATTGGAAGCCAGATCTCATCATCTGTGACCCCCTCAACAAGTGCAGGTAAAGGTGTGATTGGATCTAATGCATGACACACAAGAGTGTGGCACAGCCAGAACCAGAAGCCCCATCCAGTGCAAGACTCTTGGTCCTGGCTGCGAGTGTGGGCCTGGGGGTTTTGCACACATTCAAGCCTTGCAGATCACGGCCACTAAGATCACCTGGGCTCAGAGATTTCATGCTGGCATGGAGCACCCTTGCTTTTTCAAGCTCTAATTTTATAGCTGGTTGGAACTTTTTAGTGTGTGATAAGTACTTTGCATGAGTAGCCAGTCTTAAGATGATTGCATAATTAACCAGTTAATTGCATGATACCTGTAAACATGTAGAATGGGCCTATGAATAAAACTAGCCACTGTTAATAACTCCTTGGGAAACTTTCTATCACCTCGGGTTTTCATCATTTGTGTCATCCCATTATCTACCCTTCTAAGGAAAAGTAAACTGGGGCCCACCATGCAAAATTTTATCAGCCCCTTCCCATATCTGCATGATCTTAAATTGCATGGAAAGGCAGCTAAAGATACCCTCGGCCTTCTCTAATTATAGCTGCATGGTGTTCGGATGAAACAAATGTGCCATGGTGTGATCATCAATAGCCAAGCTGGGAATGGTCTAGGCTGAACCCCAGAGGAAGTCAACGATGCAAGAAAATGACAAGCGCTTCGGTATTTCAGAGCATGGCTCCATCAGCAATGTTGATTTTAAATGGAAAACAAAAGTAAAAACCAAGGAGAAGTTCAATCTACTCCTGAAATCCAGGCTCTTCAGCACTAACTAACAATTGGACTCTGGAAGAATTGAAAAAGTCAGACAGGATGGCCAGAAAGGAGGTGAAAGTTGTCCTGAGCTGACTTGCAGGTAAAATGGGAGGGCTAGAAAGAAAGCACCTGGCATTGCTCTCTAGTGACTTTTCTTAAATTAGCCTGAGGATCCTCTGTGGACTTACGATTGAATTTCACCAGCTTCTTTTTGAGCAAAAGGGGCACAAAAACACTGCGCATGGAGAAAAATCTCTTTGGGAACTTTCTATTGCAATCAGGCAAGAACAAAAAGCTAGTTTCTTGTGCTCTCTCCACCAATGTATGCCCTATCAAACCATCTTTGTGAAACCCAGCTTGCGTGTCAAGTTACAGATTTTTTTTCTCAATATTATTAAAAGAGAATGGCATAGCCACCCCGCACATTATATTTTCAAATGTAAGTAGCAATGTGGAAGAGGGTGTCTGATTTTAAACAGTAGGTTTCAATGGTTCCTGAGTGCTGCAGTTTAAGCAACATGTAATGATAGATGATAAAATCATATTTAGGCCCTGGAGATGACATTGCAGTTTTGTCTGCACTGCTTTAAAAGGTGCTGTTTTACAGCCAGATAAGAAAACTGCAATATCTTTCTCAGTGTAAAATCCTAGTGCAAACAAGCTTCCCGTAATGTTCACCTGAAGGTGACACTGCAATGCCTAGACTCCTCTAGCATTTTTCAGGAGAACAGCTCAAATCCAGCAGTAAAAACACACTTCTTTAGTAGTAAGGAGAAACCTGAGAGAATTGTTTTATTCCTGAATGCCCCGACTGCCTTAATGGATCACTGTGAGACGGTAGGTCTGTTCACTCCAGCATCTTATGGATGCTCCACGCATAATGGCTTGAAAGATCAATGCAGTTATGTCTTTTTTGCATACATCTTAGCTTGTTTACAGATCCATGGACAGGATTTGGCATAACACTGTAGGACATTCAACTGGAAGAGGGATGGATTAAACGCATCTTTGGTTTTCTTAAGGGCCAGTAGAAATTATTCATTCAGCTCTTCACCTGGAGTTGCACAATCATCATCAAATAAGTAACACCTGTGTTCCAAATTACATAAGTACCTTCCTTTGCCTTGTATTATAATGAGCTTTAATAGAGCCATCTCACTTGGGAAAGGCATACAGTACTAGGTCATGCAGTCCTGCTGGTGCAGGACAATTCCTACAGCGATCCAGTCTTAAATAGACTTTCCGTTCTTTCTCTCTTTGGGGACTACCTCATGGTCTAACAGATCTCAGTCACAGACTGCATATACCACAATGTAAATGAGATAGCGTAAGGACTAGATTGTATCCTTGGAATCACACATTTGACAGAAGAAGGCATGGGATGGGACCATCTCTAGTGTCCCCAAATAAAACACACCTACATGATAGGTACACCAACCCTGAGATCATACAGTGTGCTCTCCTGTCTGTGCCTGGCCATCTTCGATGAACAAGAAGTAGCTAAGGCTATACCCCCATGCTACCTCTGCCACTGGGTTGCTAAACTGAAGCAGTGCATGTAGCAGGGCACCAGAGGGAGAAGAGTTTCCTTGGGTGCATCTACACATGCAATTAAGGCAAAACAATAAACTCCGGAGTTTATTGCCATTTGAAAGTGCCCCTGGGAGTGCAACATGCTGAGCCAATTCAGAGCATCCACACCTGGCAGGGGGGTTGGGGGTCAGCCAGCCAGCCTGGGATGCTCTCCCTGGCTCAGTGTATGGCAGTGCAGGGCTAGCCAGCAGGCAGCCCCCACACCGAAGCACCATCCTGCCCTAGCCAGCCAGGGCAGTGTCTACATGTGCACTGCTGCAGATTTTTTTTACTCCACAGCAAGATAGTACTTGTGCCAAAACCCCCACTGAAGTGCCTGATCTTTACAGACGCTGCAGAGCCAGGTTGAAGAAACACACTGCTTCTTCTGGTAAAGTGCATTTTGGGTTTTTTTTAACATCTGCAAAGAGCCTGCGATACCAAGATTTCTCAAAGGGCAGGGAATGAAAAATGTAAAAGGCGGCTCCTTCCCAGCTCCTTGCACTGTCCCTCATCCCTTTTGCAGATGAATGTCAGGAGGGGAAAAAAACTGGCCCATGGAAAGACAGGTGTTTTCAGAGAGTAAAGTGAACAGGTATTTATGAGCTGTTATGTAAAAGTGCACCCTGCACACAAAACCCCAGTTCAACAGAGATTTATGTGCTGACCTTCTCCACTCTTGACAGTCTGATGACTGTGTTTGTTTAATGACAGGCAGTGAAGAAGAGCTTTATCATCTCACAGGAATCTTACATTTCAGGTTTACCAGGTATTTCCCAAAGAGAGATGCCTCTTGACTCCCTCCACCCTTCATACTTAGCCAGATGTCTTCGCCACCTAGGAGAAAATTGCCTCTTCCAAAGTTGGTTGTGAAATGCTGTGTTTGCTGTATGTACATAAAGGGCTCAGGGTTTCTGCTAGACAAAGGATGCAAGAAATCCAGGGATGACTGAAGTGTGGCTTGCCGGTATTTAGCTTTGGTAACCAGGTGTTATTTTCTATATGAACATCAGCATAAATAATGAACCAATGTAAAACAAAAGTCAGAAGAAGGTCATTTCATAAGTAAAAATGTAAATCTTTATTTGCTAGCTATCACTCTGAGCATTCGCTTGTTGATTGAGTCTCCTTCTCCCACACTCTCTCCATCTGGTCTGTTTATATTTTTAGCTCTTCCTTTATCTACTACATAGGTAAAGGCATCTACTTTATCTACCTGCTACATAGGTAAAGGCAGTCTTAGGGCAACAACAGCCTGAACTCAGTTGGTCTCCATAGGTGGAACTCAGTTGGACTATAGTCAACAAAAAGTAAAAAGTTCAATAGTTTTTCATGTTTTGGGAGTTGCTTGGAGCTCAGGAAATGAAAAGCAGACCATATATTACCTAATTTTAGGACCCTTGGTTCTGCTTTTCATGCCGCTGTTGTTATTAAGACAGCTAGGCAGAACACATTAGAGAAAGAACAAGATTCATTCCCTACCTATAAGAGAGATCCTGTCACTGGATATCCTCCACCAAACACCTACATAGGAACAAAGTCCATCTAACATTAGTGGGCCTGAGCTAAGACACAGCACTGCAGCTCCACACAGCCAATTGTAGAATTAGGCCATGGATAAACTGCAGATTTGTGAGACAGTGGGAGCTGCCAGAGCTCGACTCCTTTGGAAATCAAGCCACTTTAGGAGAATAGAAGAGAAGACAGGAGTGGGGTTTGCAGCTGGCAGGGCAGAAGGAAGGACAGTAAGTTTTATGTGTATGGATGACTCACTTGGGGTAGGGCTGGAGTGTTGTTGCAGCAATGATGGTCCAGAAAATATGTGAGAAACAAGGTTTTTTGCTCTCCTTTATTGGACCAGCTGTATAGTTTCATAGATGTTAGGGGCTGGAAGGGACCTTACAGATCATCAGGTCCATCCCCGCTGCACTTGGGCAGGAAAGACTCCTGGGATAAGATGAACCCAGCAAGATGGACATCAAGACACTTTTTGAAGATCACCAGGGTGGGTGACTCTACCGTCTTTGGGGGGATCCTGGTCCAAACCCTCAGCACTCGACTTGTAAAGAAGTTTTTCCTTATGTCTAGCCTGAAGTGATCTTCAATCAGTCTGTGCCCATTATTTCTTGTGCCCCCCTGGGGGGCCTTGGTGAACAGATGCTTTCCCAGGCTCTGATGTGCACCCCTGATATACTTATAGGCTGCCACCAAGTCCCCTCTGAGTCTTCTCTTCTCCAGGCTGAACAGCCCCAAGTCTTTCAGCCTCTCCTCATATGACCTGGCCTCAAGCCGTTAATCATGCACGTCGCCCTCCTTTGGACTCTCTCGAGCTTCTCCACGTCCTTCCTGAAGTCCAGCACCCAGAACTGGACTGTATAGTCAGGAGTGAAGTTGGACAAGCTTTAAGACAAAAGGTGAGGTCTGAAGAATGGTACTTTGTGCCCCAAAACTGGTTTAACATTTCTCCCAACTACACACCTGGTCTAGATATCATCAAAAAACCCTTTGCTCCTTATTTGGGGTTAACAGTTTTGTTTACTAAGTAACAACACTTGTATTATTGTATTATCAACAACACTTGTAGTATTGCATTATCAAAACTGCAGCAAGTAGCATTGATTAGCACTGTACTTTATTGGCAAGACTGCATTGTAAATAACACTGAAAAATAGTATGGACTAAATGGCTAAAATTCTGATTTAGTATCATACAGTCAGCAGCACTGATGCTTCTTATGGAAGTAAACCATGAGGACATGTGTTAGTGCCAGGCTAATCTCTGTTCTATGGCTGTGAACCTGAAGTAGTTCACATCAACTCCAGCAGCTGTGCCACACTTATGCTTGTAGGGGAGTAGGACTGGAGCATTACTGTAGCTGTGATAGTCCAGGGAATATGTGAAAAGCAATGTTTCGGGGGGGCTTGGGGTAGGAGGAGGGGGTTGGCAATATATTATATAACATATGGTTGATCCTATAGAAGATACTACCAAAAAAACCTTGTTTCTCTATAATGGAGAGAGGTTCTGACCATCAGAGAATCAAGTTGATATTGATGGAATATATAGATCCAAATACACTGCTTGAATAAACAGGTGCAACTCCATACAAAGCTGGGGAGTATTTCTGTTTAGGGTAGTAGGGAATTTGGCTTAATGTTAGGAATTCTCCTCAAATTCAAACATGTATAACTTCAGAAATATGCATCTTTTTCATTTAGTACAGGTTATCCTGAGCAACTGCTACAACTAAGCACATTAATAAAGCAAGTAAAAGCCTTGGCTGGCAAGTTATTCATCAGTGGCAGAGACTGAGTAACCAGATCAGGAATGTATTGCCAGACCACAAAGCTATATTAAAATGGGAGTTAAGGTTGACTGTATGTATCAATAGCTTAACATTAAAAAAGACCTGGCAGGATGTGGAAATTGTCTCAGAAATAAGTATTGTAAGCCCATGAATTTCAGAATAAAGGTTTCATTTAAGAGAAATCCAGATATATTAAGGTGTGAAAATGCAGAGTGTAAAACACCCAAGCAACCTGAACTCTACCCTGTAGTGATACTATGTGATAATAACCATTCAATTCTGATTAAGGTATTTTGTTGACTGTGGACCAGTGACCAGGGAGCCAGCAAACAGGGACTGCAAACAAGGTAAGCAGTTTGCAGGCATTTGCTGGGGGCAAGAGGAGGAAGGGGTAGAGCAGCCAAGCACCAGATCTTGCCCAGGGGAGGTATGTAATCCAGCTGCCTGTGCCTTTGGTTTGCTGGGTGTTTG